AACTCAGGGAATGATAATCATTGTTTAGTATGCAAACATGTCTTCTGTCCACTGCTGGCATTTTAATAAGTGAAAGGACCTGTATGACACAAAGTGAAGGGACTGAAATCCCTTTAATATTTGTCTCACATCACAACCAATCCACTAAATCTGACACTTGTGGCACAAAGTTATGAAAGTGTTTTGTCATGTACCACTGTTTCTTGGTATTTCTTTAGAAAAACAGCCTGGCTACCACAGCTTAGGGGCCTCAAATATGTTGAGATATTTGACTTTATAGCTCTGATATTTTAAATCTAAAAGTGGAAGTTATTTTGCAGCCATTTTAAATGGAAAAAATACATTTATTTGTGTTTTTATTGGCCTTGTTTGCTCTTATGAAGGAGAAGACACATTTTTAAGTAACCACACTGGACAAAGCCCATCTATCTTTTTGGCATGTCACTAGGTTTCACAGATTTACGCTCCATCTTTTTTTGCATTGTGACTTTGACTCTCCTTAGTTTGACTGAAACACTATGTTCTGCTGTTTTACTCTGACATCTAGTGGGCATACAGAGCAGTGAAAGGAGGTGCATTTGTGGACCTGCTGGAAACTGCTGAAAGAAATCAGTGAGATTCACACTGTAGGAGTTATGTAATAAATTCATTTGTATGTAATAGTTGTAAAAAAAAAACAGAACATTTGTAATGGGATGCATGTAAATTTGTCTTATGCAAAGCATGAATATATTTAGGTCTACTGGTGTTTACTATTCTGCCAGGTTAGTCATATATTAAGTCAGTGGCAAAGGAATCAATGTACTGAATGAACAGAACTTCTATTAGGCTGCAGTGCAGGCTGGATGGTTTATTACGAGCCCTGCTGAGGTGAAAAGCAGCTCAAAAATACAAACACAACACTTTCACATTTGGGCCACTAGATGTCACCAAAGATATATAGTTGTTTCTGAACTGCGGTTTTCCAGATGTGGTGTTGGCAGAATCCAGGAGCTCCTGCACAGTTTCATGGCAACAGCCTCCAGTAAATACTTTATCTACATTTAGCACTTGATCTAGTTATGGTTTGTCCACTTTACAAAGATCTTTAATCTGGAGGTAGGTGGGATGAGGCTGATGAGGCTGCCCATTTTTGCTCTCTAAACTGAATGAGCTATAAACCTGGCTGCACGGAGAGAATAATCTGCTCTAGCAGAGCATTTCCCTTCTTCTTCCACTAGGTGGCAGCATAACCGTACAGCTGCAGCACATTCAGACAAGAGTCCGTCCAAAAAGTTATCAGTTATTTTGTCAGGAGAAATCTGAGACATTTTAATCTGACACACACAGATCATATTTAACTCATGTTAAAAAGCATACTAAAATAAAATAAAATAAAATAAGGATTTGCCCTCCAAAACCCGGAAGTATTTTTAGGAGTGGACATGAGCCCAATAACTGAATTAGATATTGTGTCAGTAGTCATTTGTGTGGATATTACTATACTGTTCATTATAAATGCAACTTTTTGGTGCGTGTAAAAAATAAAATAAAATAAAATCCACGTTGATGATTTGTGCACTCATATTTGAAGGACAAACTACAGAGATTTTACAGTGTCTGGGGAAATTAGAGGTGTTGTTTATGGTGATGAACAGGCCTTAAAATAAAATTAGTCCCAACTATTTTGGGCAACAATAAAACATATGTTAGCCCCTTCTTTATTAAATTCCTGAAATAGTTTGATTCTTTGACTTTCCTGGGCAGTCAAATATATATTTTCACAATAAAGCGCACGTAGCCCTCTTTATGTCTCTGTACGAGTTTGTGGCTTTTGCGCGAAAGTAGTCAATGTGTTTCTCCCCCCCACCCCCCCACTGCAAACCCGAACCACCTTTATTCTTAATGAAAATATCATTTAAATGTAGGCTAATTTTAGAAACATGAAACACACTGCTTACGAAGGACGTTTACAGAAAACAAAGAAAATACACGCAAAGATAAGTGGAAGCAGCTCGTTTGGCGTTAGAATGTTTAGTGCTTTGGCCTCAGACTTCAGACTTGTTGTAGGCCTGTGATTGGGAGTGGACCCTAGCCCGGTAACAAACCACAATGAAGTCAAAAACAAAAGGAAAGTCTGAGACATAAACTATGAAGAAATAAAAGAAGATACATGTATAGATGTGATGTTTGAAACAATCTGCTGGGCAGTCTCAAAAACCAGTGGATCATGGGTTCTTTTTGCATGTGCAGTCCACACACACACACACACACACACACACACACACACACACACACATACACACACAGAACAGCCGCTCATCTTGACTACCTCTGTGTGTGTGTGTGTGTGTGTGTGTGTGTGTGTGTGTGTGTGTGTGTGTGCGTGTGCACCTTTTTGCAGCACCCGGTAGCTATGTAGGCTACTCAATAAACCGGGGCTGCGATCCATCAGTGCATTTATCAGCCTATTATGGCGACAAATCCGGCTCCCAATACATGAAAGGTAAAATGAATTACCAACGTTAAGCCGTCAATAAAGTCATTTCTGTAAATGGTGTCTCCGAGGGCCTCCGCTATTATTCAACAAGCTTTATCAGCACCTTGGAAATTACGTGGCTTGTAGCGCGGCCCCTGCTTCACTTTGATTAAGGGCCCTGCCAGGGATCGGTGACAGGGCTTTTGACTCGGGTTTTATTCAGCCCTCTCCCCGTGATGAACACCGGGCTGATCGGGCGGAATGAAGACTAATTAAAAGCTATAAATTATCTTTTGCAGCCCCTCTCAAGGAGCCTCTCTTTGCGGCGCCAGATAAGAGCAGGCTGAGTGCTCATTTAACCACAATGGCGCTGCGGCTAAACAGCATATTGATACTGTCCTAATTGGAATTTAATTAAGTAGCCATGGCTCCCCACTCCGGCCTGCTGGATAAAGATTTCACTGCGGAGATGTTAAAACATCAACGCTCCCCTCTTTCATGCCGTTGCTATTATGATCATTAATATTATTAGTCTATTTCAAAAACCAATTAGAGCCTGATAGCAATTTTATTAATCTTATTCTGGAGACTTTAAAAAACTGCTAGTCTATTTATTATCCGGACTAATTCCAGCTTTCTAGCCCTCATTGCGTTTATTGAAAATTCATTTGTAAATACTTTTTTATACTAGCCTTTCATTTACTTTTATATTAGTGTAGACTGCACTTTGTCCTACTCGGTTGTCTCTTTTCCGCCATGCGTTGTCCAAAACAGACCTATGGTTGTCTAACTCATAACACGGCCTACGTGCGTCCTGGGGGGCTAGAGAAAAGCAAGGAACTGCTAAGAACAACAAAAGAAAATGGGGTAAAAAAGCATCTGACAATGAAAATGACCAGACCCCGATTTTTAGGAACGCTTACTGAGAGTTGGGATTTATTTTTTTAATGTTTCAAGCAAATATATGCTGCTGAGTTTGTTTTGCTAATGATCTGTGTTTGGCATGAGCCAGTCAAAAATAGAAAATGGTTTTTCAAAGCCTTCAAAATATTTAGGCTACATTATGGAGACAAACACCTGCTCGGTAATGAGTCAGTAGGTGGTAAATGAGTGAAACCACCATGTTCATAACGCAACTGATTCGATGTGTTTCCATTTAGCGCGTGCGTTCTTACCAGTGGACGTTCAAATGTGACTCGGGAATTTGTATTTAAATGAAAAACACCTAGTATTTGTGCTTCTGTGTAACATATAGGCTTTAATGGTGGTCCCCTGTTGTTTTTGTTGTGCTGTGTACATGTGTATGCACGTGCCTCACCAAGATTGATCGTAGGACGCGTGGGATACGAATGCGCGTGCTCGTAAGGAGCGCCTTCTGAGCTCTAATTGGACGTCGTCAATTGTGACAGGGACGATCCCCGCGCCCGATTGGTCCACTGCGCGTGTGCACGCGCACACGTGCTTCCGGCTGCGTGTAAGAGGAAGGAAAAACACACGAGTGCAGATAACGGTTTTAGGAGAGTTTAGGAAGAGCGAATCCACAGATATTATGCTGCACCGGAGGGGAGAGGCAGGGACACTGGTTCTAACGTGGAGCTGTTCGCTGTGCCCGGTCTCCGAAGGCTGTTAGGAGGCAACATGTCGCCGCTGTAGCCGATATTATAAATGAACACAGGTATTTATTCTTCAGAAAAGGTTTGTTTTTACATGCTGTCCGTCTAAATTGGATATCGAAGGGGGGCGGGAGAGTGAGCAACAAGTGGAGTTTACCTTTGGAGAGGCCGAAATTTCACACCTTCACTAGCTATGGAAGAGCAAAAGGAGCCCAGCAGCGGACGGGACTCGACCGAGGAGGAGAGCATGTCCTTATCGCCAAACCTCCCATCCCCTCCCATGATTTTACCCCACCAGGCCGCACAGCAGGCCCACAGAACCACGAACTTTTTCATTGACAACATCCTCCGGCCGGACTTCGGCTGCAGAAAGGAGCCGAGCTACCGCGACCGCAGCCAGACGCCTGGCAGAGAAAACGTGAACCCGCTGGGCGCGAGGCCGCCGCACACCGGGAGCCTCTGCCTGGATTCCAACTGCAGCAGCGACAGCACCTCGTCGTCGCCCTCCTCGTCGTCGTCCACGTCCTCCTCGCCCTCCTCCAAGCAGAACTCGTCGAAACAAAGCGAACCTGCGAGCAACGGGACTGGCAGATACGCAGACAGCCCCTCTTCAATTATGGTTATGAGTGGCAGCAATGCAGGGTCTCCGCCCATAATGAAAGAAAGCCAGCCGCTGTTGTGGCCCGCTTGGGTTTACTGTACACGGTACTCGGACCGGCCCTCATCTGGTAAGACGCTAATAGTCCCCGAAATATGCCGCCTGGGGTGTGGGGGTGCTGGGTTCTTAGTTGGTCTGAACTCACTTTCTCCACAGCATCATTCAGCTCCTTCATGGTGTCGAACGCACTTAAAGTCTTTCAATCCGAAAGTTATTCCTGTGCGAGGGAATTTAAGACTGACATATTAATACTGAGTTGTTTTGCAGTGCTGTGTCTTTGATATGTTTTTAATAAAATACATTTTGAAAGGAAATAATCCGACATTAGTAACATAATGAATATGAAAAGGGGAAACATATGACAAACGCACAAGTGTCTTATTGTCTGCAGTGTCTCATATTTATTATTGGCCTGTACAATGTCAGCCCCAAAATAATGTTCACTGCAGTTCCATGTGCAGCTGCATCGCATTAGTTTGTCATAATAAATGTAGCTCTGGCGTCAGTTCATGCGCAAAATTATATTTAGTTGATGTTTTGTTCTGGGTGAGAACAATAACACATTATCTGAGCTTTGAGTTCGTCAGCAAAAAAAAACAGAATATGTTCACAGAAATAGATTTAGAGTTGATAATTATGGAACATATTATTGCCAAGCTAGCAAAGCACAACGTATCCAGCAGCTTAATACTGTAGAGTAATCCAAACCAAAGCGTCAGTAATTGACCTACTGTAATGTGGCTTAACTATTTTAATTACACCGTCTGTTGAAAGGGAAATATCACCCAAAATTCAGCAGTCTGTCGTTATTTCAGGATTCAAAGTAAAAGAATATTAACCCAGAGATGTGTTTCAGGGCCTCTTCAGACCCAGGGTAATGATGCTGGACAGTGGTTGCTTCCAGATGCAGCATTTCATTTGTTTTGTCCGTGTTCTGACTTTCTGCTGGTTTTAAACACATCTGATAGAGCCACTGGTGGCCTGCTTCTGAACCCGCAGTTGTTTGGCTTAAAGTGTGTAGAAACCAGAGTAATTCGGCTAATATTAGCGGACGGAACCGGAGGTTTTGTGCATTTACTTCAAAGCCTCCTGACTTTTAACCTGAATGACTAGATTGTCCAGAACATGCACAGTGTGAAGACACAACTAAAGGGATTAAAGCGATGCATAAGCTTGTAATTCCCAGTTGAAAGGGGGCATCATTTGTTCCTAAATAGCTTATTAAGAAAACACAGAATGAAGTCGTAGGCTATAAACATCGTCATTAAACCGATGAATAACAACGATTCATGTGGTTTGAGAATGTTTGTAGCCTGCATCCCTGATTAGTGCTGATGTTCTACATGTAATGTCTAGAATATTGTTCAAGTGATTTAAATATATATTTGTTCCGCTTTTGGCCCCTGTAACTGAACAGTCATGTTGTGGTTTGGGTTTGGCTGCAGGGTGCATTTACTGTCCGAAGCGCCGGCCTCAGATCAGCTTTCACTCACCTATCAGGCTTCGGGCAGAGAGTGCACACCCTGTTTAGCTGTGTGCACGGCATTAGGTCAGATCTGTCCTAACGTCGACGCTGCTCCATGTTTATATGATTAAGAAATCACGGTGCTGGATGGATTCCATTATTTGTAGAAGGGGCATTTAACAGGGAGACTGTGATGATGTGGAGCTGTGGAGTCTGCAGTGGGACTCTCGGGTTGTCGCCTGGACCTAAAACACCAGACTCAGACACCAAAGCCCCTAAAACTGTTCCTTTCATGTGAACGCCATGAGAACAGCCACACAGGGCAACGACAGCTCCTGATGCAAACCGCTTCACTGCTCCGCGGATTTGTTTCCGTTATGGTTCCTTTCAGCAGTGTTATCGGGAACATTTCCACAAATTTAAATCCCATACTTTGTAGGCTGTGTGACACGTTGGCCTAATGTTTATTTGGTTATTTCTAACAGTGCTGCTGCAGCGAAATAGTTAGGCCTCCGTCCTCCTGTGGTTGGATGAGTTACAGAGTATTCCACTCTCTCACAGGCCTACTAATAATTCAAACATGAATTAATAATCAGGCATTATTATGTAGCCCCCACCCAGAAAAACCCCAGTCAGTATATTGTTTTATTAAAAATAATTCAAGTGGCCGTAGTGAGTTGTGTTGTAAAAGATACTGAACCGTTCTCAGAGGTTTGGTTTTTACATCTGAGTGTCCTTATTTTGGATGTGATTTATCCTCAGTGAGTCCAATTTAATGGACACAGTGAAGATGCAAGCAGAGAAGTGTAATAATGGAACGGATAAAAGTCCTATCAAGGGCACTGAGGACAGTGTTCCCTCTGTGCCTGCACACCGAGCACAGGTGACCTACATTTGCTCATATTGGCCAGATGATCAGCCGCTATCATCGCTCATCAGAGACGCTCAGTCGATGTGAGCAGCAGCTGTCATGGTGAATTGAGGAACTTTGTGGCCTCCTGTGTAACATTGTGTTCGTGGTCCAGCCATAGAATAAATGTTATATTTCCATTGTTGTTTCCACGCCAGGCCCAAGGACACGGAAACTGAAAAAGAAGAAGAACAGCAAGGAGGACAAGCGACCCCGGACAGCGTTCACGGCCGAGCAGCTGCAGAGACTGAAAACCGAGTTCCAGGCCAACCGGTACATAACGGAGCAGCGGAGACAGTCTCTGGCCCAGGAACTCAACCTGAACGAGTCCCAAATTAAAATCTGGTTCCAGAATAAGAGGGCAAAGATAAAAAAGGCCAGCGGCTACAAGAACGGCCTGGCCCTGCAGCTCATGGCTCAAGGACTTTACAACCACTCGACCACCACCGTGCAGGAGGACAAGGAGGAAAGTGAATAAGGGGCCCGCCCGGGGCCGCGACCTGACTCTGGGGCTTTTGGAGACAATGAGATGAACTGCAAGCTGGGGCAACGCTATTTAAGACACAGATTTCTGTTTATGGTAACAGTATATGGACGTAATTATATAAATGAACGATCGTTATTAAAGTTTATATAGCCACACAGTTATCATGTTATTTAATTTCAGCCTCATCTTCTCCGTCTGCTTCTCATTGTTTTTCTAATGGGCTCTGTAGGTTCTTGTGCTCTGCGCCATATTTTAACCCAACACATCAGTCCTCAGACTCAAGCAAGCCAAAGATTTTAATATGTTCACATGTAGTCTGAAATAAAAAAGGAGAACGGTAGATGATGGACTAAATCATTTTCGTCTTCTTTTCGTCCCCACAGATCAGCTGTGATATCTGGGATAAAAATATATTTAGGCAGTATGACCTCTTATGTCACATTGATTCCTCAAACCTTACCGAAATAAACTGATACATCGAAAATATTATTTTGCAATTTAAAACAGCATCAAGAATTTGTCCTTATGCATAAAGTAAGGAGGCAGGAGCCTATAAAATAATTAGACTACAAATTCACACACGTTAAAGGAGCAAACCGTATAAAAAATACCAGGTTTTTATTTTATTTCCTGACCACATGTCTATAGATGTATTTTTCCATGTGTATTACGTAGCCTAGAGAGGTGACAGGAAGCCTCCCACAGTGCTTCTTTCTATAACATTTCACCTATGAATCTGTTCTGGGCATTTAAAAGATTTCACATCTCTGCTGAACGTTCGGACAGAGACGCTCCTCGTCGAGCTTTAACGAAGTGAAGACATTTGTTGAAGTTGTTTGCCAGTGTGCTGTGTCTTTTCAGCCCGGATGGCCACAGACTTGACCTGGGGTTCAGGTTTGATCGAGTCTGGCCTGTAAACCCTGTGACACCGAGTGTGTGTGAGTGTCTGCGGACCCCAATGTCAGTGAGAGCAGACGAACCAGGCTTAGATTACGTCAAAACATCACATTGGTGCTGTTTTAAAATAATACGTTCTGGGGCTATCTATGAATAAAAACACCACCACAGCTTTAACTTTATTGGTGAGAGAAACCTTTGTTTTTATTGGCGTTTTACCAATCATTTATTATTATTATTAGATTATAAATCTGACATTTTATGTGAATCAGCGGAGAGAGGGGTTTTAATAAACCTGGATGCTCTGATGTAAATCCAACCTGTTCATGATCGACGTGTCTCGACATGTCCTTGGCATCTTTTATCATTTATTTACCCCGTTGCTCCCCAGTTTGTTTATCAATTACAAGTTCAGTTTTCATTTGCAGTCAGCGAATTTAAGATTCTGACCAAAACCACGGGTTTATTTATAAAGTCCCACCCATCTTTGTTGCAAAATAGTCCCTCCTAACATTGGATTCTGTGCGTAATGAGTCTAAAACTCTGTAACCGGAGTCCGCAGGAGGAGAGGTCCCATTTCGATTTTATTATTTATTTGATGCGTTTGAAGTGGCTGCATGTCGTGTGACATCCTCGGGCACGCTCTTGACACGCACGGCTGTGCTGTAAACAAGCAGCACTGACACAGCGTGATTTATATTATTTCTGTTCGTTACGTGCCTTATATACATCTGATGGTGAACGGGATTATTTAATTAAGAGCTAACAAGCCTGCAGAGGTCTGCAGCGGAGGAGTTCACGGCCTCCGCGTTTCAGGCGCTTTAATTATTTCACGTGCTGTTGCTGCTGTTTGTGTTCAGCTCTACCTACAGAGCACACGCTTAATATGCGCACAGCACATTGAGTGTTAATAATTGATTTCAACGATGACGAGGGACTCGGTGTTAGTTTATAGGCAGGTCATCCCGCAGGTTTCAGATTTTAATTAACAGTGCAACATTAAATAGTGGCTTTATTTCTTTATTTATTAAGACTATACACCTCGGAGTATGGCTGTAGTCACCAGCACACAGTTACTATGAGCGAAATCGAAATGTATGGAATTGTAAAAGACAAGGCTATAGGCCTACAGATGGGTAAAACACGAACTTGGCCATAATATAGCCAAATAGCATTTAAAAGAATCTAATGTGTTTTCATCTGGATATGTAGGCTTTGGTGCAGGTTGTGTCAGGAAGGAGAACCTCCAGGGCTCCCACAAAATTAGGGCTCGTTTAATGTCATAGTCCCTAAAATGCACGAATAAATATTCACTGGGCTTATGAGTTTGACACCACATTTATTCTGAACATTATCAAATGACTTTTTGTGGAAAACACTAACTAAATACACGTTCAAATGATTTGAATGTACTTTGTAGTCCGGTTAAAAAACACACACAGTCCTATGTGTTTCTCAATCCGGGCTCTTTGGCCATCTGGCCTACATGTGTTAACCGAGGTGCACACGCTGCCTGGCTCTTCATGGTCAGCTAACTCTGTAGCTCTATTATTCTAATGATAGTTTCATTCCCTGCTGTGAATGCGGAAGAGGGTCTTATGACAGTGTATTTAAAATTCAAACAATTATGAAACAGCGAGAGGATTTCTCTCTCTCCTCCCACCTTGTCATTGAGGAAGCCCAGGGTTTATCTGTAAAACAAAGAAAAGCCAGGGATCGTTTGCATAGTTAGCATAGTCTGCCTCGCAGGCACAATATGGATTTAATTTATATGCAAATTAAAGCAATAAAAGGAGAATACACACTGGAAATCTCGGCCGTTTAAAGGGGGGAAGAGTTGGATTCAGAGCAGGTAGCACACATGCACAGAAAGCATGATCCGCCTCAACCAAGAACAATGGTGTTATATAATATTCAACTGCAGCAAAGGTTGCATTGATAAACTATGAACTACTGCATATTAGGGAGAATTAATTAAGAGTTTTATTATTAGGAAAGTTACACTGATGAGGCAACAATTAAGCAGCAGCAGCAAACAAGACCATGCTGAAGATCACATCTCTCTCTCACACACGCAGCTCTCTCTCTCTCTCTCTCTTTCTGTCTCTCTCTCTCACACACACACAGCTCTCTCTCTCTCTTTCTGTCTCTCTCTCTCTCTCTCACACTCTCTCTCTCTCTCACACACACAGCACAGGGCACCTACACCACAGACAGACCGAACCCAGAGCACACTGAACAGTCCCTGCCAACCCCAAACTAAATACAACCATCTCTCTCTCTCACACGCAGCTCTCTCTCTCTCTCTCTCTGTCTCTCTCTCTCTCTCTCACACACACAGCTCTCTCTCTCTCTTTCTGTCTCTCTCTCTCTCACACACACACGCAGCTCTCTCTCTCCTTTCTGCCAAAAATGCAGCCCATTTGCAACGCTTCACAAAGTTGTCAGTGCATGGTGACCTTTCAGACTCCGTGCACTTCACTGATGTTGTGCTGTTTTGCCTCACATTGCCTATCATAGCTTTACTAAATGCAATATTTTACATATACTGTACTTAAGTACAATATAAGGTACTTCTACTTTAATTGCGTATTTCCCTATTTTTTCATTCAAGTCATTCAGTAACATTCTCATTTTACTCAACAGAGTTACATTGCAGTCTATATGATCAATTTATAGAATATGATTATTTCAAATTGAGCTATCAAGCAATTTATGAAGTGGTTATACAATTCATTGCAACACTTCCTCCTTAACATCTGTGTTTATGAAACTCAAAATGTTTCCGTTTTTGGTAAAATTGTCATAAATGTATAAATTATATACTTATTATTGATGTCATAGTTAAAGGTGGTGTTGTACTGGACTACATTATATTCAGAGGTGTTCCTAATATTCTGACCCTCTCATGCATGTCAATGGGCAGGACAAAAATATAGAGACACCTCTGAATATGATGTAGTCCAGTACAACCCACCTTTGACTATGACCTCAGTAATAAACACAGAATTGAATTTATTCACCAAAAACAAACATGTTGAACTTCATAAACATAGATGTTAAGGTGGAAACGTTGCTTTGAAGTGCATACAATTGTACAGGTGTACCTAATAAAGTGGCCGGGCAGTGTATTAAAACAATAATATATCAGTACTCATTCTGCATATTGTAATACATAAAAATCCAGTACTTTCACATAGATAAAAGTTTGAAAACAGAGTATATTTTACATTTTAACATTTCTAGTTTTACTTATTTAAAAATTTCCTGGGAGAATAAATATTATGGCACAATAAATTTTAATCCTAGAATGCCTCTGTTTCTATTTTAATATTCTTTATAATTATATTTTCAGAATTTCCAAGTATATACAACAGGCTATAGTTACTGTAAGTATATTTGTAGCGTACAATAATATTAACAGTATTAAAATTTCATGCATATATGCAAAAGTAAGAAAAATATCAGTGCTCATTTGCATGGTCATTGTTTGCAGTTCACAAACTGGGGTCTCCCTCAGAAACATGCAGGCGAGCCACCTGTCATTCAAACAAAGGGTGTGATCTCACCAGTCCATGCAAATAAAGTGTTGTGTATTTAGTTCGATACACACTGCAGGAAAATACACAGTCAACACAGACGTACAGTAGAAAAGCTGTTGTGGGATAAACAGAGCTACAGAGATGAAGACACACACAATGAAATGCACCCATGCAGAGACATACAAGCATGAGCAAAAAAGGCAGGATAAGAGCCTGGGCTTACACACACACACACACACACACACACACACACACATACACATACACACACGCAGAGCCCCACTTCAAAAAAAATTCTTAGATCACTACCCTGTGACGAAGCTGGTGCTAAGTAGAAGTTTAGAGTAATTCCCTCCCAGCTGCTGCTCCCATAATGGGAGGAGACAGGAGAAGAGGCCGTCACACAGACAGAGGTCCTTCACCTTTTTTCCTAAATTACTTTAGATTGCACATGAATATGCTGTGAAAATATAAAACAGTTGCAAGTAAGCACACTGCAAGCAGCTGAAGCTATTCTTGTTTTTCTTCTTCAACTAACATCTGCTGGAGGATGCAACACAGTATTCTTCAGTTTCATTAAACAGCTGCTTTAGTCAGGCGTACCAGTGCCCTTGCTCAGTCACAGCTATCTAGTTAGCATTATCTTTAGCGAGTTGAGCTGGAGTTTTGTTTTCTGTTGTGACTTTATTTAGCTATGTTCTCATTTAGTTATGTCAAATAACAAACTGAATTATCAAGGTGTCCGTTCATTAATATTTTGTATTTACAGACATAAACTAAGCAAAATCAGTTCAGTTTCAGCTTGAAATAAGACACACTTGAAAAAGTATGCATTTCAGCTCTTGGCCTATGTCGCCCTTCGCTCAGTTCAAATGCTACTGGTTGGCCTATCAACTGGACTCTCACACAAACAGACAAAGGTGGCATTGAGAGGAAACCTCCCACAATGCAGCTGAGCGTCTCGGGGGCTCTGCTTCAACACCCATGATCTCACCGAACTAAATCCAGATTACATGGAGGATATACA